TCCAATTAATTTGTAATTAATTGGATAATTAATTAATTTGCTAATTAATAAATTAATTAACATTCGTTTCGGCCCATGGAAAGTCCTGTGAGAGATAAAAAATAATTCAATATATAGAAAAATCGGTATTTTATTACTTCAATGCAGACTATTAGTTATTGTAATTGTCTCATACTCCAATTAATTTTGTGGTACTTTCACGTACTATATAATGCATATTTATTGTCAAAATTGATTTCGAAAATTTTATATATCTGCAGTTTTTCAGAAAAAATAATTAATTACTAATAAATAAATAAAAAATAATTAATAACGGTTAATTTAATAAAAAATTGACATCAATTTTTTTTTTTCAAAATTTTTTCCACATTAATTGGAGTATGTAATAATTGCAAATCAATTAATTAATAAATAATAATTAATTAATGATTAATTAATAATTAATTGNCTGATCCAAGTGGTCACCCACCCGCACACTGACCGCAGCCAGTGATGCTTGACTTCGGTGATCTGCTGGGAACCGTGTCTTAACGATCAGTCCACTGCGGAACGGTTGGAGGAAGCAGTTTTCTATCCTGTCCTTCTATCTTCTATCAATGACTCCTGGTCGCAGATAAAGAGCAGGACATATTTGCATAGAGCAAATAACCTTTGTCAAGCATTGATATTGATTTTTCTTCCATTTATTAAGCTACATATACAGTCAAATTTGTTAATTGGGCAACCTCTTTATGTTAATCACCTGACTAAGTTGATCCTAATGATCAAGCACTAATATGGTAAAAACAATTAAATTCCCTCTTTATAAGTTTATCACTCGCATAAGTTCCACAAGTGGTCAAATTACGCAGAATTCACTTGTAGATACAAAATATAATTTATTATTTTTTTTAAAAAAATGATTGACACTTTGTGACGCTTGTTATTCAGACTAGAATAAATATCTAATCATAACTTACTTGATGTATAATTCTCGAGACCAAGTCTTCAGTGTATAGAGGACGCATTGACAAATAAGATATAACATCAATTCCGGAAAGTTTTTCCATTACGAAAAACATAGAAGTTTTTGATGCGCTAACGGAATGGAGGTTGGCAATTTTTTCATGCTGGAGGGATTTGTATATTTCTAATTCCTTTTGAGCAGCTTGTCCGGCAGGACCATTAAGATCCAGGGCTTTGGCAACAAATGTGCCATTAATCTTCTTCTGCCAAACTTTCATTACTAAAGAAAATCTTCCCCTGCAAAACAAGATTTTTTTTTTAAAAAAGAGAGAGTTTTAATTTAAGTATAATATTAGTACAAATTTAAGTTAGAGTGCATATATTAAGATGATGCAAAGATAGTAGAGCATGTAAAGATGAAAAAGCACTAACTTGGCTACTTCAGATATGTAATTATAAAGCTCGGTGGGTTCAGCTTCTTGAACCACAACGGGTTCATCTTCTCTACCATAATCAAGCTTCATGCGTTCCATAGCATCTAAGATTAATTCTTGTCCACTATCCGTTTGGTCTTGTTGAAACTTTTCTGCCCTTCCGAGCTCTATTTTTGGCGAGGCTGATGAAGAATAAAAAGTATTCACAATTATTTTACGAATACCTATAATATTACAATAATTAAAAAAAAAAATAAATCATACAGAGCCGTAGTGGCTCAGGGAATAGAGTGCTCGCCTCCCAATGAGGTGACATGGTTTCGTTCCCAGCGATTGCTGGTCGCTACGATTTCCGCACCCGGCTCGCACCGATCACTGTCCTCAATGGTAGACGAATCATGGGTTAGAGTCCCCTTGACTCCAGACTAACCGTGGGAGGTTTTCATGGTTTTCCTCTCTATGCAATGCAAATACGGGTTAGTTCCATCAAGAAGTCCTCTACGGAGGCAAATTTCTTCCACTATTTGATTCAGAAGTTCCATTGTCTTCTGGATTGGATTCAAAATTACAAGGCTATGGAGTTGAACTTTGGTAGTCGTAAACTAAAAATTTTGTCGGCTGTTCAACGACGGTTATAAAACATAAAATACAATAACACAAATAAAATTTGGTTTGAACTATATATGCTTAGATCTTAAATTAAATCATTCTTAAACAATCTAAATGTGTTTTTTTTAGTTCTTTAACTATTTATCGATTATTGTAAACTCTGGAAAAAAAATTTTAAACTTTATTCAATTTTAAGTGTCAAAGCTGCCCAAAGATATGGATTGAATACGTGTGTATTGAAAAAACTCAAACGTTCTTAAAAGTGTTTCATTTTCTTTATGGCACTTAAAAGAGTTATTCAGTAAATATGNTTTTCTTCCTCTTTCTTTAAAGAAGGACGAAGTATTTTGTTCTCGTTATTTGAATTTTTCTAGTCTTAAACGAGGATAAAATTTTAACTTAATTCAACAAGCAACTTTTAAAAATATCCATGAGCGCGAAGATTCGTTTATGACTTTTGCGAGTGCTGTATTGAGGCGAGCGTAGGGTTGCCTCTGAGTGAGGGTTACTAGATAAGGCGGTGAAACAGTTGACAAATAAAACCGCGGAGAGTGGAGGTGCCCGGGAGTTGACAATGTGTAAAGTCGCCTCAGGGAATAGAGTGCTTGCCTCCCAATGAGGTTACATGGTTTCGTTCCCAGCGATTGCTGGTCGATACGATTTCCGCACCCGGCTCGCACCGATCACTGTCCTCAGTGGTTGACGAATCATGGGTTAAAGTCCCCTTGACGTCAGACTAACCGTGGGAGGTTTTCATGGTTTTCCTCTCTATACAACGCAAATACGGGTTAGTTCTATCAAGAAGTCCTCTACGAAGGCAAATTTCTTCCACTATTTGATTCAGAAGTTCCTTTGTCTTCTGGATTGGATTCAAAATTACAAGGCTATGGAGTTGAACTTCGGTAGTCGTAAACTCAAAATTGGGTCGGCTGTTCAACGACGGTTATAAAACAAAATACAATAATACAAATAAAATTTGGTTTGAACTATGTATGCTTAGATCTTAAATTAAATAATTCTTAAACAATCTAAATGTGTTTTTTTTTTTTAGTTCTTTAAATACTTGTCGATTATTGAACCATTTCTCTGGAAAAAAAAATTGTTAACTTTATTCAATTTTAAGTGTTAAAACTACCCAAAGATATGGATTAAATACGTGTGTGTATTGAAAAAACTCAAACGTTCTTGACAGTGTTTCTGTTTTTTTATGGCACTTAAAAGAGTTATTCCGTAAATATGCAAACACTAACTGTAACCTAAATGTAACTTAATAACTCTGTAGATGTAAAAACAAACTTTAAATTCAAAAGTAGATATAGAAATAATTCAAAATCATAATTATTATAATTTTTTTAAAGTTAAATTTTTATCTATCTTTCAAATTTTTGCGCTAGAGGTTATGCTATAATTTATTATATAGGACTTCGTTTCGTACTAAAAGTACACTCTCAGAAATAAAACTCACTTTTGACGATTCAGCAATCCTTGTGCTTTATTTCGTTAAATTTGAGAATCCATCTCGAAATCACGTGATATGTGACGAAACGTGAAGGCTCAAATATATGACGATAATGATTCCTAAACTCGGATCCTCATTGTAGTGCATTGTGAGAGATAGTTAACTAGAATGAAGATTAGACGATCGAAACTAAAATGAGGAAATTTTTATTTACTTTTGGCGAAGAAATGGCGATAGTTATTTCGTCACTCTGACGAAATGTATTTCGAAAATAAGGAAAATTTCGTGTAATTTGAGTATCTATTTTTAACAGTGCATTAGTTCTTTTCCATGTAATAAGTAGCTTGTCCTTATTCAATAGATTTTACACAATTTTTTTTTAAAGTAATTGTTGAGTTTGAAGTTTTCAAATACTTTTACCCTCTTGTTGAAAAATCGAAAAGAAATCAATCGAAGAGCCAGGACAAAAATCAATTCAAAAAATTTGAATTTATTGGTTTAACCCCTTTATGATCGGTGGATAGAGAAAAAGCGGTTCCCCAGGTCCTCACGTTCCGAGGGTATATGTACTGAAGTGTACGATAGCATCGAACTGAGATCACATCCGTGTGATCTTGGGCCGCTGGAATCAGAAAGGCTCGTTTCATATATGATATCGTGGGCCATGAAGGAAGAATCGCGTGGAAGGTATGTGATCATGTTTCTGATTTGGAGTTAAACAAATTTGTGTCTATTAATGTTAAGTAGTTTACATTTCCTCAACGTTCCTTGGTGTAGTACATTTTGGGGATGATATTTTCGTCAAAGTAAGGGAGAATATAATTCTACGCGAGTCGTCTATTTGTAATAATTCAATCATTGTTATATAAAATAGCTAATTTCGAGGTCGTTTTCCAGTGAAACTACTGAATCTTTTTTCAAGATATTTTTTTGCTTGTATTCATAACAAGGACAAATTAATTTTTTTTTTTTAAAAAACCGATGTAGTTAATCAGGAAAAAAAAACATTTAATGAAAGTATTGCAAAAATAAAATCATATATTTGAAAAGTTTTGTGAGCCAAGTAAGTGACACTTTCAAAGCTAGTAAAATCAGGGTAAGAAGAAAAAGAAAAAAACAAAGTACTATTTCATTATAGATTTATTTGAAAGCGGGCCTTATAATTTTTTGCCTTATTTTATTTACCACTATTTAATTTGAAATAAAAATCATGCAAGCCTACTCCAAACTAATGGGGGTAAGTTACGTTAAAATTAAAAAGAATGAAACGATCCTGTTACATTAACACTTTAAAGCCGGGAAAAGTGAAAAAATTGGTACGGGAAAAGAGAAAATACTGGTAGAAGAACTATTTTAATATTATATAATATTCGGGAGGAGTTAATCTATTCTCAACAATAACAATTCACTGTAAGGAAATTATCACGGCGAAGAAGCAATTCAATATAAAAATTGCATCCGTTAAAAACAATTGGTAGTTANACCAAGCATGCTTGGGAACTAACACTGGGGGTTCCGCGTTCGGCTGACCACCTGACCGGAACATATGCTCCTGCACCCCAGAGCCCAAGGTCAAGAAAACTGAGATGGGCACAGTCGGCCTTGGCCCTCTTAATGGGCTGTCGCGCCACTGAGTTAGTTAGTTTTATATGTAGAGCCACCTCAGCTAGATTTGGCATGTGACATTTTTAGCGGCAATAATTGATCGATTCGCCGTGTAAGAGAAATAGTAACGTAAACAAAACAAAGCAAACGTTGCCACCGGCGGAAAAGAAATGTAGCCAAAATTTGGGAGCCACGTAAGAGAATTATATATATTAGATTTGAAAGCGGGCCTTATGAATTTTTATTTACTATTGCCTAATTTAAAATAAAAATCATGCAAGCTTACTCCAAACTAATGGGGATAAGTTTTAAGTTAAAATTAAAAAGATGAAACGATCCTGTTACATTAAACATACTCTTATTGATGAGACTACTTTATATTATTTTCCCTGATTAATAAATATCCCTGAAAATGTCACTTACCTGGTTCTTCCAATAGGCGTTTGAGAAACGTATTATAAGTTACGAAAATTTTAGGACCTAGATTCACGAAAACCGCACAAGAGACCAAACCACCTATCTAAATTCAGTGAACTGGATCTTAATTTATTCTTTATCTGAAGTTAAAAATAATTAAGTACAGACTAAGCACTAACCTTCTGCCAGAGTTAATATAGGTTCAGATGGTAAACTGAATTCACTCCAACCGAAACTGTTCACAGCAGAAATATGGAAATAGTATGTAGCTCCAGGCTTCAAATTTCGAACTAGATAAAACTCATGAGAAATATTGTTGGCTATTTTCGTCCACGATTCAGCACCTAAAAGGATATATATATATATGTATATAAAAATTTCTCAACTGTTTCTTTAAAGTATTTATTATAGATTTCGAAGAATGATAATAAAGTTACCTTCTTCCTTATGTTCCAAAGAATAGCCAAATATTGGACTAAAGCTGTCGATCTTTGGTGGCATCCATGTCAAATAAATTTCAGTATCTGATATTTTATCTGCTATTGGAGGGTCCGGTTTAACAGATACACCTGTACACATGAAAATAACTATAAATTAAGGTGAAAAAAGGAGCATACCTACAAACTCTTCCGGATTTTCCAGAAGATTTTAATTTAATGTGGAAGCAAAATTTTTGCATTCATGTTTGATTCCTGTTTTAACAAATTCGATTTAATATATTTTTTTAACACTACAATTACATTTAAATAGTTTAAAGATACATAAATAAAACCAGCTAGATTTTTTTCATTGCGTTTTTAGTGATGGCGAAAAAGATATTTATTATTTGTCTACACTACAATATCACTTCAATACTTATTTCACTATCACTAGGAAATTTTTTTTTGAGAAGCAAAAATCTTGGAAGGTATGAAAGCAATGGTAAAATAACGATAATTATTTGTTTTTCCATAATAAGTTGTAGAGTGGGCTGACAGTAAAAACACGGTTTCCAATAGAACCACTTTGCGAAAGGACCAAGTGTGCACGGTAGTGTGATTCTCTTTAAACTGTTCTACCAAAAAGTGCTCGAATTCTGGCGCAGGTATATCCTGTGCCTTATTAAAATTGTGATGGCATGTCTTCGGATCATCCTCAGGTATGTTTCCTAGACCATCACCTATAGCACACTAGTTCGACCTAAATAGAGTACTACTATTACTATTCCCCGTAATGAAACAAATTTTTTTGAAAACTCTTTTCTAAGTACTAACACTCGTCAAGAATACCAAAATTAAATCTATGAAACTACTTTGTTGATATTTCGTTCGAGAACGCCATTTTTATGATTCCTCACTATCGCTTCTCGATTCTTAGCTTTCTATCTTGATCAATTTTGCAAGCAATTCTCTGTTGTTTTTTTCATTGATTCATTATTATTTTCAACTACATAGTTATAAAACAAAGTATTAAATTAGTATTAATGTAGTGTAAGTTCCAAATAAAACATTTTATGAAAAACTAGAAAATAGTATTGAATATTTTACGCTAGATTTACGGGACGCGCCATTTTGACGCATTTCGAATTTTATAAGGAAAATTACAAAACTCTTTTGCATTTTTATTTTATCTCTTGTAATAACTTTTATGCATTGATCGAGGTAAATATATATTGAAGTCTATTTTTTTCAAAAGCTTTGAAATATCGAAATTCTCTTTGTGGTGTACCTATACCCTATCTCTACGGATATGCGTCAATTTGACGCAATCGTAATTTAGACAATATTTTGAGTAAACATGTAAATATCACATCAATAATAAATAGGAATGTACCGACAATACTTCGATCCGTTATCCGATATCGTTATCTCAAATGAAACAAGCGATAAACAACTGTTGTCGATAAGCAATAATAGAAAGAACAAACGCAAAATGTCAGATTTTGAAGGTTTCAGTTGCTTAGTTCGAGTATTGAAAAATAAAATACTAGAATACTTCATAAATATGTATCTCATATTTTTTCTTTTAATTACATTGCTTTCTTATTGCAGAGCTACCAACTGCTCCGAACACACCTAAATATTTTAATAAGCGGTAAATAACTAGTAAGTAAATTTTCCATATAAAAAGTGGTGAATTATATAAACCCACGAATTATTTAGAAATAGTGGTGGATAAATATCTACTCAATTGAATTTATTGAACCAAGAATCACAATTGATAAACTACCATTTTAAAATATATATTTGCTGTCCGGTGCAAGTTGGCATCTCTGTAAGTGCTGTTATACATATTCGTTCATGCGCCAAATTGTCGCGTGTTCGTAGAGATAGGTATATAAGAAACGTTCGTAAACCTAGTGTGGAAAAAAATATTTGCCGAAGTGAGAATGAATAGACATAATTGAAAGGGATATAATATCGTTTCTCAATTATCAGCTTCCTATCTTGATCAATTTTGCAAACAAATCTTTCCTATTTTTTTCATTGTTTCATTATTATTTTCAACTACTTACAAAACAAAGGATTAAATGACTAACTTTAAATAAAATTTTATAATGTGGTGTAAGTCCCAAATTAAAAATTTTGTGAAAAATTAGAAAATAGTACTGAATATTAAAATTTTTTTTTAAAGGGACAAAAAAGTTTTGTACATTTTTTTGATAATTTTTTAATAATTAAGGAAATAAAGGGTTAAATATTATTGAAAATTCTAGTATGGCAAAACAGCATTCGACATCAGAATATTAACTAAAAATGCTGGACGTTAACCCATTAAGTTTCCTTGGACTTCTTAAAATAGATAAATACTGGTAACTTAATTATTTTATTTTGGAAACTCGTATTAGAAAAGAAAGATACTCGCATGTTCACCAAATTATAATTATACAAGTACCTGCCAACTTTTACACTTTCCGAGAAAGGATTTTTCAAGTGGTAGTAAAACAATTAACGAAGAAAAATTTTACTCAAAATTGTATTTATATTTTAACCAGGATGTAATTCGCTTTAGTAACGACATATGTTTTAATATATTTGTTGTAATTATTTATGTGTAGTTGTGGTCAAACTCATTTATAATTATCCTTATAATTTAAGAAGTTAAATGGAATAACATGAGTTTCGCTATTATTAAATATAAAATTAAAATCGTCTGGCAAAACCGAAAGAGTTTGCATATGTATATATACGTACCTGCCAACTTTTAAGCATCTGGCGTAAAATTATATTTCTATATTTAAAGNTCAAAGTTTATGTTCTTATAAGAGGCAAAAACACACAAAGAACGATGAAGTTAAGTTATAAAAGCAAATTTAATGGTACGTGATTACAATAAGTGTTCAAAACAGTGGCCGGCAGCGGCTATGCTGGTACAACGGCGAAGAAAAGATAGGCGAACTTTCCCTGCAACGGCCGAAAGCTTGGCGACAAATGACGTAGCTCAGTAACTCGCAATAGGAATGGAGCTTTCTCGTTTGCATGAAAAAACTTTCCAAATGTGCCAGCACCTTTGCGTTTTGTTTTCGACCAGGCATTCTTTGATAAAAATTGTTTGTCTGGGTGTGTACTATCACTTCCTAAAATTTTCCCCATCTTTTTAGAATCACCCTGTATATATTTGCCGAAGTGAGAATAGACATAATTTAAAGGGATATAATATCGTTTCTCAATTCTCAGCTTCCTATCTCGATCAATTTTGCAAACAATTCTTTCCTATTTTTTTTCATTGTTTCATTATTATTTTCAACTACTTACAAAACAAAGGTTTAAATGACTAACTTTAAATAAAATTTTATAATGTGGTGTAAGTCCCAAATAAAAAATTTTACGAAAAATTAGAAAATAGTATTGAATATTAAAAAAAAATTTTTTTTAAGGGACAAAAAAGTTTCACACATTTTTTTGATAATTTTTTAATAATTAAGGAAATAAAGGATTAACCCGTTTTGTCCCGAATTAATATATTGAAATGATACAAAAAGTAGTTTTATGGAAAAAGTGGTATAATATATTTTCGAAATTAATTGTTTTTTCTACTGTTAGGGCATTCAAAAAGTCTTTGATAGATCAAAAAGTACTTGCTCCTTAAAATTCTAGATCTAATCAGAAATAACTAAATCATTGTGGTATCTGAGAATCTTTTAATTCACCCAGATAAATGAAAATGCTGAAAAAAATTTTCCACCACAGTGAATGTTTTTGAAAAAAGGAACTGTACTAAATAAATGACGCTGGGCGTTAACCGGTTAAATATTATTGAAAATTTCAGTTTGGCCGAACAGCATTCGACATCAGAATATTAACTAAAAAAGCTGGACATTAACCCATTAAGTTTCCTTTGACTGACTTTTTGAAACAGATAAAAACTGGTAACTTAAATATTTTATTTTGGAATCTTACATTAGAGAAGAAAGATACTCGTGTTCCCCTAATTATATATATATGTATACTTGCCAACTTCCACTCTTTCTGAGAATGGACTTTTCAAGTGGTAGTATAACAATTAATGAAAAACAATTTTACTCAAAATTGTATTTATATTTTAAACAGTATGTAATTCGCTTACGTAGACATATGTTTTAATATATTTGTTGTAATTATTTATATGTAGTGGTGGTCAAACTCATTTATAATTATCATTATAATTTAAGAAGTTTAACGGAATAATATGAGTTTCGCTATTATTAAATATAACAATAAAATCGTCTGGGAAAACCGGAAGAGCTTGCAGCTATATATATACATATACAATATTGATTTGAAATTATTCAGATGCTTATTTTTTTAGCTAAAGTAATGATCACCCTTGTAAACAATCAACTTAGTTTTACCTTTTATTTACTAAATTATTAAAAAATTATCAAATATCTCAGTAACTTTTTTCTTGTGAAATAATGCATATTTCACAATGTTTTTTTTAAAAATTAATCTTATTTTCTAATTTTTTATATATTTTTTTTATTTGGGATTTAAACCACGTTATAAAATTTTAATTAAAGTTAAACATTTACTGCTTAAGTTATAAAATTGTAATTGAGTTCAACATTTAATAGTTTGTAAAATGCTAATGAATCAGTAGAAAAAAATAATGTATGAAACACTTGCTTGCAAAATTCATCGACATAGAAAGCTAAGAATTGAGAAATGAAATTTAGGAATCATAAAATGGCGTCCTCGAAAGTTTTTATTAATTGTTAGCGAGTAAAATAATAAAACTTTTCGAAGAATAATTGCGCCCACTTACTAAAGTGTCAACACGAGATCACTGTAATAAAGTTGCATTTCATTTGATTCTTTGAATTTTTTACATGAAGTGGTGGAAAAATTACTTAAGATGAAAAATACTGAACTAAAAATAACTTAAATTTCGTTACTACTAGATAATATTTTTTTACAAAGTGGAGTTGTTGTTGTAGTTCATTTACGTCGCACAGAGCTGCACAATGGGTTATTGGCGACGGTCTGGGAAACATCCCTGAGGATGATCCGAAGACATGCCATCACAATTTTGATCCTTTGCAGAGGGGATAGCACCCTCGCTTCGGTAGCCCGACGTCCTGCACGCGAAGTCGAGCACTTTACGAAAGAACAGTTTAACGAGGGCCAATACCGCACACCCTCGGTCCCTACGTAGACTGATCCAAGTGGTTACAAAGTGGAGCAAGTTGGCATCTCTTCATACAGCTCAGCCGGGGATGCCCCTTGTCATAACCGTAGCTGGATGCTGGATATTCTGTAAATCTCGGTATTTGGCGCGAAGCGCCACTAACCGATTCATCGATTCTGTAATGTTCTATGATGTGGGATCATAAAACCAAAGAAGTTCTAAGATCTAAATTCTAGGAAGTTCTAAGAAAAATTTTCAGAGTCTTTACAGAAGGTGGGCAGGTGTTGTAGTCAGGTGATCATCATTGAGCTGGGGAGATCCCATTGAGTATAACCGTATCAAAGTGGCATATCACTTAAGCCTTTGAATTATTTATAAATAGTGGCGTGTAAAAACCCTATGAATCGAATTTGCTAAACCAAGAATTATACATTAAAGGACTACCACTAGAAAATATTTATCTGCAGTCCGGCCTAAGTTCGCCTCTCTGATAATTGAAAATAATATTATTCAGACTTAAACGTCCAGTCGATACATAAAAGGGTTAAGAGCAGATTTCCATTTTGTTTTTATAAATGATTTTTACATCAAATCGAATCGTTGCCTTTGAGTTACGTCAACACAATTTTATTCTTCGTGTTGTCCACGAACACCTCTTCAATTCAAATTCATTGAATAGTCTATATTATTATCTTGTATTATATATTTTAACTAACTAGATATGTTTATTTAAGAACAGCATAAATTTAATTCTTCCTAAAGATTTCTATTTTTACATTTTAAATATTTGCGAAATTCATGTTTTTTTCTATTTATTTGGAATTATAAATTAAATTTATAATGTTTAAGACTACTACTAAAGGTAAATAGATACAACTATGATAGTTCATGATAGTTACAAAGATGCCAACTTTTTTCCGATAAACAATAAACACGGTTGTTACGTTTTAATTTCTTTATTACTAAGCTTACGGATACTCCCTCTAGCGGAAAATGACCAAGGTAATCCCTCTCGGAAGTATTCCTCCAATATTTTGACTAGATAAAAGTAGGACAGAGATCTATGTTCTATCTATGGAATGACATAGATAGAAGTAGGACAACGGTATAAACTGAAGTCTGCTATTGCTTTTGTCACTTTTACTGCCAGTATCCTAGCTGTCTACGGGCTCTATTACAGATGAAAGAGTGTGGGGACCGCTTCGCGGGCAAGGACTCTGTACTCAACTTGTTCCGGACAGCGGATAAATATTTTCACGTCGTTGTCTTTAAATGTACAATTCTTGGTTAAGTAAATTCTATTTATGGAGTTTTTACTCACTACTACTTCTAAATAATTCAAAGGCTTATGTGATACGGCACCTTTAGAGATGCCAATTGTTCCGAATTCTACAAAATATTTTTAAAAACGGTTGAGAACTATAAACTGAAATTTTCAGTTTTATGATTAATTTTGTCAACTTATTACAAGGCTTAAAAGTTAAAAGTAGTCTCACCTGCAACGTCTATTCAAAATAAATCTCTAAATAAAGTTAAAAAAAACTCTTTAAGATGTTTTTGTGGACTTACAACCAAGATTCAATCTCGCCCTGCAGACAGATACACCATGACAATTTCTTGACACACACTTATAGGCACCAACATCATAGGCCTTGGTCGGTCTTAGTGTTAGTGAGCATCGACCATCTGACCATTTACTTATCTAGAAAAAGAAATTGCTTTTACAGAAGAAGGGTAAAATAGAAATCAGAAAATTAAAATAATGCTGTCTTGTATTGTAGGCAAAATGCCACGTTGTTATTATCAGGTCTACTGGGAAGTTTTGTCCACGAAAGTATATGCTTCCTTTTACAGTAATGCAAAAGGTCCTTTTATAAAAGAAAGTGGTAAGGTATTTACTTTTTAATTTAATGGTAAATTTCTATTACCTATTCAAACTGTAAAGAAAGTATCTGGCCGGGATAGCCTGGTCGATAGGGCGCTGGGCCTATGTCCGAGAGTTCGTGGGTTCGAACCCCGCCGGCCGAAGACTCCCCGTGTAGTAAAGTGACTGATGTACGTTAAATCTGTAGAGTCGCAAAAGTTCTCCATGTTCCCATAACAAATCAATACCTCTGGGGGTACTGGATTGGATATCGATTATTCTCTGATTCAGGTCAAAATTACGATCTGTGGATGAATGGATGTATGAATGGGTCCGCCCTATAAAAGGGTGTGACGTATGGTGCGACAGAAGTCAAATTCTAGGCCATAGATGGCGCCACTGGAAAACAAGAACAATCGCACTCCCTCTGTCTAAACACGCATACGTCAACAATAACAAGTATCTGATAAAACTCATCTGATATATACATTTAAGAATAAATTTCCTACCATTTTTTTTTTATTGTAAAGGCACCTTTTGCATTCTTGTATAATGGATTGTGTTCTTTCGCGAGCAGAATTTTCCAGGTAGACCTAATAAATAAATTCCAAAAATGAAATACTTGTGCTTCAATATTTTTGGTGATAGAACTCACCGCTTAAACTGATGCTAGGTTCTATTAATGGGTGAAATAAATTTTATCCCTTATTGTATTTTCGTAGTTTTAGAAAATATTTTTTCTTGTGGAAGCAAAGCCAATGTATTAATATTTTAATAAATTAGAATAAATGAAATTTTTTCTACCCCTATAGATAACTTTTATAAACAGATATTTTACAGGACAGATAGAGGAAGTCATGACTAGTCTTGATGAAAGTTTTTATGACAATTCTGTTTTTTTTTTTTTTCTTTAAATTCGTCTTGGTTCGGGACTATTGTTAATTATTTTTCACCCAGTACTCAGCTCATATGCTTAAATGTGGGCATGGCAAATTTGAGATTTTTGCTTGTTAGTTTAAAATATCATTTTTATTTTGAACTAAGTAGCGGTGAATTAAATAAATCAAACTATTATTACCTCTCTCACAAATTAACTGCTCCAAAAATAATTTGGTTACCAGTTTTATCTTTTTTGATTGTCATCACCCTGAGAAAGCGTATTTGTAAAGCGTATATATGTTTTTATTAGTATTTTCTTATTAATTTTAAATAAAATTTGTTAGAGGCTTTTAAGTATGAATTGGATTAATTTGATATGAATTGGATATGTTTATATTCTCACTTTTATTGTATGTGTAAAATAAGTAGGACTAGAATATTGATGACCTAAAAATTCTTCAAACACGCCCTAAAAATTTCTTAAAAAAGCTTCCAAAAACTTAAAATGACCTTAAATAAAAAATAATGTGCTATAACATTTCAACGACATTTTTTATAGTAGTTTTTATCTTTTTAAAAAAAAAATTGTTCATCGTAATCTGCGTTTATAAATTTAATAAAAAACAAAGAGCTATTTAAAGTAAATATGTATTTATAAGTGCAATGAAATGTGAACAAGTACCTGATAAAGACAAATTGAAAATTATATAAAGTCTTATATCATCAGAATTTTATTGCATTTTAAAATGTTTTTTGATATCCTTAAAATCGAAAGAACGGCTTTTGTTCAAATGTAGAATGCTTTAAAAATTAAAAATATCAATTAAAAGCAATAATAAAGGATTAAAAAATAGATAAAAATCACTAAAATTCTACAAATAATGCCTTGTAGAGGAAAAAACGTCTAAAAATAAATTTATCATCAACATCCTAACTCTGATAATAAACATATGCAAACAAATATTATACGTCTGGGGTTCTAGAGTCAGTTTTCTCTGACGTGTAAGATTCCACTGATAGACTAGAATAAAATGTCCCGAATTATATACTATTTACTTTTTTAAAACGCTAAAACACGCATATTGAGCCGTGTTCATTTTCTTAAATACACATTTAGAGCTATGGTCATTTTCTTAAATACGTCTTTTGAGCTCAGTCCATTTTCTTAAATACGCATTTTGAGCTATGAGAGACAAAAAGTAATAAGTTATCTAAAATTTAATTATTTTAAATTATATATATATCTTACGATTATCCTGGAACTCTCAATTAAGATGCCATCATTTCTAAACCAAGAAACTTGAGCTTCTGGATCTGCAGCAATTCTGCATTCAAACACAGCTTCTTCGTTTTCGCGTACAACTACGTGCTTAATTTTTTCACGGAAGAATGGAGCTGAACCTAAAAAGGATGAAGAGTAATTTCATCATTTCATTAGTTGTACAGGAAGAGACAAAAAAACTAAAAACAATAAACTTAAACTACCTAAAGATATATGAACGGGCTGCCAACTTATTACGTTTTTTTGGGAAAATGTCTTCTATGTTTATGTTATAATGTATGATTCTTTGTTTTGTAAATTTGATTTGAAGTTTGAAGGTTTCTTCTCCACTAATACATATAAATTATTCAAAAGCTCATACGAAAAGCCACTTAATTCCAGCTCTCTCGTGGTGAGGTATTTAAAATGTTGGCGGCATTTCGAAAAATTCTGTTTCAAATTACCTAACACTCTGTAAAATATTTTTCAAAAAAACGTAGTACTAGTTGGTAGTTCAGCAAATTATTCTGCTTAAGTACTAGAGTAGATTTAACTAAGGTGACCGGCATACCCAAAAAATGACCAAATATCGATATTTTTTTTTATTGCCTATAATAAAACTTCTACCTATTTCAAATGCACTGAAAAAAAACATCTCTCTATCTACATTTAAAAAAAAGTTATGAATGATTTTAGATTGCCCTTAAACGGAAACTTGATCAGCAGATAGAATTTAAAGTGCTTTTTGTCATAGATGATAATTTCGTGTTTTAATGTTAATTAAATCCCTAAGGAATTTTTTCTATTTAAGATAAAGCTTTGAAGTAAACTTTTTTATCTTAATTATAATACACTCATTTAAACTGTGCATGGAATAAGCATTTTATGAGGTATTATAATTTTTACAGCATGTTATATACAGGTATACCTGTATACCTAACAGGAATTTTTAACCTTTTTTTTCTACTTTATTACAAAATAATCTGTAAAAAATCTAATTGATAGGTTAACAAATGAATGCACAAAATTGTTGAAATTAATATTGTAAGCACTAAGAAAAAATTTTTTTGTTGAAAATATGTTAAAATAAAAACGCCTTAAGGATTTAAAAAGTTAGAATTTTTTAAATTTTTTTTTAAATTTAAAAAAAATTGAAACAATTTAACAATTTTTTGAAGATAAATGATAGATTATAAGTTAAATGAGCATGTAAAGCATTCACAAAATGAATGATTATACCTTAATTTTAAAAATTTTTTTTGCAAGGTTGCTGTGACCCCTTAAAAAACTAAAATAGTGATTGTAGAGTTCAGCTATAATGCATTTTTTGGAAAACTTGCCCGCATGCAATACGTTAAGTTACCGATATTAGCTTCATTTTCCAGGGTGGTGACAATCAGAGTAAAACGAAAAAACTGGTAGACATACTATTTCGTCAGCAATTTATTTGTGGGCGGGATATTGATTGTTTTAATTATTCAGTTCACTTTAGTTCACGATAAAAATCATATAGCTATACTGTGAACTAATTTTGATTAGATTTGTTATGATTAAAGTGAAAGCAACAATAAATATACGAAATTAGCCGTGTACAAACTTCAGCTATCACTTTTTATTTTTTTTTAATCCCTGTTTTCATTAGCATGTTTTGAAAATTTTATACACCACAAGGAACTCAGAATAAATTCGAAATGTGGACTTAACAAAGTTTCTTAATTGCAGTTAAACAATTGTAACCAGTTAAATTTATGAAAGTATGAGTTTACTTTTCATAATCAGTTTCCAAAAAAAAAAAATTATTTTGTCCATGACTAAAACTAGTCTGAAACACAAAAATTCAAGATCGCAAAATTGAAATTCAGTTATAATTACACTCTACTTCTTGGGCAACATAATAATGTGTAATTGCAAAGTTTGCATATCAAATTGGCTTAAGTTTAAAAAAAAATCTTTATATTTTGAATTTTAAAAATATGACTATTTTTAAAATTCAATTTCTCAGGAACTATTCGACGAATTTCACTCACATTTTGTATTTTGCCATCTGAAATCATATTCTATAAAATGATGAAAAATTTTTTATACTAGGGCATAACACTTTTCAAAAAACAACGTAGTTCTATTTCTGTTCCGTTGTTGCGACGATAATTTGTTAAAGTTTCCGAAACTCATTGATCTTTTTTTTCATTTCAATTACGAAGCAAAACAATTTTTTTTTAATATTCAAGTATGTTTTTTACTACAGATTTTTTTAAGATGATTCGCTTCAATCTATTTAATCCCTCCTCTGTCGGGGTCGCATCTCATACGTTCGGCGTTATCGTGCCCGCATTCTCGGCATCGCATATCATGCGTTTAAAATTGAATTTGAATTCGTCGCTACTTACACGTCTTTTTAAATCCCGAGATTATTTTTGCATTTTTGAATATTGCTAAGAGATGGCGCTACTAGTCCCTCTTTCTTCACAATTTTCGCTGTGAAATTTTCCGCCTTGAATTGAAATCAAACTAACTTAGTATTTTCTGTAATTTTGCTTTCATTAGTGTTACCGTTGCAGGTAAATTATTTCAGTTTTGTGATAAAAGTGATTTTTAAGCTCCAACTCCCAAGCTCTTTTAACAGAAAGTAGAAAAATTATTTTCAAAAATATTTTTACCAAATTTTAATAATTATTTCATGCAGCCTAAAAGCAATCAAGTTGATAAATACGTTATCACAGAGCATTTTTTGAAAATAAGACTTGGGTGAATTGCAGGGAAAACTGGAGGTCAGTGAATGGACATATTTCACCACCATCACATATTTCACCACCAATGGGTAGAGCAAAAAACTGCTAGCAGGCTAAAATGTTTTGCATTTTTGAATTAAGGATAAAACATATATTAATTTTCAGCAATCAAAAAATGCTCTTTTTAGGTCGGAAATTAAAAAAAATTAATAAATAAATAAATAAATTAATTAAAAAAATCGAAACAAAGGTTGAGCAATGGTTTATAACTATGTCTTTACCTGCTGTTCCTCTGAATCCGCGTCGTTTTTTCTGACTCCTTGTTTCTATGTGCTCATAGCCAGATCCTGGAGTACTAACTTCATGACGTAATCTCAAGTTTGCTGATCGTGATACTCCTTTTTTCTCATCATCTATTTCTTCGTCCATGACATCAGTAAACTTTCGTCTCTCTTTTACAGCAACCTGTGACATATTATTAATTGCATTATTTATTTTATTATTTATAACACGAGCTTGCACAAGTATGTAACTGCTAGCTATAAAAAATACTGGGGATTTCATAACATATGTTCTTATATTTCTTGAGAAAAATGAAGTAAAAGAGCGAGCACCTTAGGGTTCGCAATTTAATAACTCTGCGAGCTAAAAGCAAAAACACTGCCAATGTCTAACGAATCATTGCTGAGATTTGACCAGAGAAAACAGTGACAACGTTAAAAGCGATTATTAGAAACGCTAAGGGGATTATTATATAGCAATCAAACTGTTTTTTTTTTTTTTTGGGGGGGGGGGGTTTAGTAGTATGTTTCTCACTTGTAATTTGTTGAACTTCATCATAATCATCAAAACTTATGTGGGCTCCATTAATGCCAACTGCACCGAATTCGAGAAAATATTTTAAAAAACGGTAGAAATCTACATACTGAAATGTGCAAATTTTCCGTTAATTTTGCTAACTTTGTATACGTTACAACACTGCTAAGCTGTAACAAAGTAGCGAATTACATAAGCCGTTGAATTATTGAGAAGTAGTGGTGAATAAAAGCCCTATAATTCGAATTTACTGAACCAAAAATTATACTTTAAAAGACAACCACTCGAAAATATATCCGCTCTCCGGAGCAAGTTCGGCTCTCTGCTTTTCCCGATTTGTTAGACTTCGATTGTGTTTTTTCTTTAAAATTTAAATTTTAATTTGCTAACCTCTAATACGAAATCTCTTTTTTATTTAATTCTTGCAAGGTTTCTAAAAATAAATTTGAAGAGTGTTTTTAACAAATCACTCTGTTCTTTGTTTTACTTGGATGTTTTCAAAGAGGCTTACAGACTGCTCAAAAATGCCAATTGTGTCTTTGAGAACTGCAGTTTACAACTGTTTGCTACAATCAAAATCATTAATAATATACTGAAGAAAAAAAAAGACTTACATCTTGGTATCCCCAATGTTTATCCGCTAGATGTCTGGAAAGTATAGGGCTTCTGCTAGCACCAACTTTTAAATACCTCCGAATTCGAACAGGAAAATCTGGATCACGTAAAGGCAACAAGAACGTATCTGGACCATTTTGGTAGCTAAAAGAAAGTACGATGATTGAGACAAAAGACTGAAGTAAGAAAAGTAAATAGTGAAAATCCTTTTCCATATTTTTAACCATTTGCCTGCTGTTACATTTTGTAACAGCAAAGAAAAGCACGTTTAAGTTATAAGTTGCAGAATTTTCGTGATTAAACTACGTAAATAAGTTATTCATCGAAGACAATGAAATAATTAGTACCAGTCTTTATCTTTTTGAAAAAGCCACATGTTTCATAAATTAAAAAAAAGGCATTTAAACGGCTAAACATTGCAGAGATGCTAACTGCTACGGATTGATCGAAATATTTTATAAAATAACGGTAGTGAACTACAAACAAAAATTTTCAAATTTTCGGTTAGGGCCGGGATAGCCTGGTTGGTGGGACACTGGACCCATGTTCAAGAGGTCGAGAGTTTGATGCACGCCGGCCGAAGACTTCCCGTGTAGTAAATGGTGACTGATGCAAGTTAAATCTGTCGAGGCTCAAAGTCCTCTATGTTCCCATAACAAATCATACCTCTGGGGGTACTGATCCAGGAGTTTCCTTGTCTTCTGGATTGGTTTAAAATTACAAGGCCACAGAGTTGAATATTAGTAGTCGTAAACCCAAAATTGAGTCTGCTGTTCAACGACGGTTATGAAATAAGATAAAATTTTCAGCTAATTTTTTCATTTTTTTAAAAAAAAATGCCCAACACGGCTTTAGAGTTGCTTGCTTGGTTTATTTAAACAACTGGGTGCCTAGGCCACGCAGCGGCCCCTAACCCATCCATCTTAAAAATATTATTACAGTAAATATAACATTCTGATTTATGTAACAGTGTGGTAACATAAAAATAACCATGATTAGAAATTGAAAGACCTTGAAGGATCACGGCTTTAGAGTAGCAAAATTGCGTATTACATAAGTCTTCGAATTATTTAGAAGAAGTGGTGAGTAAAAAACCCTATAAATCGATATTATTAAACCAAGAATCATCCATTATAAACTACCACCCGAAAATATTTATCCACTGTCCGGAGCAAGTTGGCATCTCTGGCGTTAAAGAGTGTCTTATATGAGAGCAATTTGTTAACTTTGAGGAATCTAACTTAATTTGTTTTTAGACTTTTATTGATTTTCAGGCTGCAAACTTGATTCTTGATTTTGCCAATGATAACTGAAAGCCATTCTGATTACATCAATAGTCGGCAGCAATATCAGCTGATTTCTGTGATTTTGAACAAATATTTTTGCATGACCTCTGCAGAAGAGCAATTTGAAACACGCTGTTCTTCTGTCGAGTGAAGTGTGAGCTTTACAATCGAAACAATTTATAGACTTAAACACATAAAAATAACAAAAATTCAATAATAAAACTGCATTGTTTATGCGAAATTTTATTAGGAGCCTTTGTCACAGAATGTTGACAGTCTTTTCGGGAGAATTTTACTGTCATCCCTCTTCGAAAGAAGGTCTCTCTCATGTTTCAATAGCTAAATGATTGTTTTTAAAATTTGATATTACTTTTCTCAGAAGATCTGAATATTTGAGAGACCGCGTCTGTATATGGATTTGAAAACAGGGCACAATTATAATCTAAGCATGTTTTATAGACCGAGGGCCATTGTTTGTTTTTAAGCTATTGTTTATAATTCTTTTTCGAGTTTTTACTGAAAAAGTCAGATTTATAAGAATATTAACACGCCACGCTAATTTTACACGGTAAATAACTACAAACTAAATTTGCAAATATAGATAGATTTTGCTAATTTATAAAAGGTTTAGCATGACTTATTTGAGAAAAGTGGTGAATTATATATGCCTACGAATTGTTTAAAAATAGTGGTGGATAAGAATCTAATAAAATTGAATTTATTAAATCAAGAATCACAATAATTAAGCAAATTTTGAATAAATTTTCTGCAATTCCTTAAAAGAGTGTAAATTTTATAGTTTTATATCAGGTTATACGCTGTAAGCCAGCTGTTTTTCACTGCCTATGTGAAAGGTCAGTGTCAGCAAGCGGTGGTTGACGCTGCCTAAATGGAAAGTCCTGTGTCAGCTACAGATGGCTGACGCGGCGCTCAACGTGTTAATTTGAAATAAAAATATTTTTGAGTTTGTAACACTTACTGGCTTTCGGATCTAGGATCGATTGCTTCTCTTTCGATTCTTTGTCTGTAAGTGATGTCATCAAAAGCTGCAGGTTTAATTCGACTTCTGTCGAGTTCGCTGTCAGGTGTAGATGGCGGTGTATATGACTCGTCTGGTGGATAGATCATACGGCTTGGATGTGTAAAGCAGGATTCCAAAGTTCGTCGACGAAAGAACCAACGGCATGCAGCGTTTGAATACTGTATGTAATATATTAATTATAATTATGCTGTTTATTACCTTTTATAAGACACATCTATCAAAAATTAAGCTCCATTATGAAAATGATTATATAAATACAAAATTTTGAATATATGATATAAAGAATGCGTAATTTAACATCTTCGTGACAGGTGAGTCATACATGCATTCTCATGGTGGCAACAATGAAGGAATAAAAGATAAAACTGGTATCCAAACTATTCTTTAGTAGATTATTTGTGGACGGGTTAATAAAAGTTAGTTAAATTTATTTAATTCACAAGTACTTAATTCAAAATAAAAATTATACAGGGTGTTTACAAAACTCTTCATTATTAGGAAGTTGATAAATTCTTACCCATGATCTTCATTTTACCAAAATTATTTTTGTGAAAATACAAAAATCGTTTTTTTGTGAAAATACAAAAAATAGGTAAAACATATGCAAGTAATTTCTACTTGTACCTAAGTAGTAAACACAATCAAATGCAAAACTCTTCATTAAGATGTTAATTCTTAACCACGATCTTCATTTTTCCAAAATTATTTTTATGATAATCCAAAATAAAGAAAAATACATAACTTAAATTTGCCCTTATACCTAAGTAGTAAACAAAATCAATTACAAAACACTTCATTAATAGGAAATTGATCAATTCTTACCCATGATCTCCATTTTTTGTAATAATCTTTCAGACGGTCAGTATTGTTCAATTCATCACATATGTCTGGTCTTGAGTCCAGCTGAAAGCATTTACCCGAAAATGTATGAATAAAGAAATTTAAGCAAAAAC